GGCTGTAACAGTCACACTTGAGCACAGGTTTACACTGCAGTCTGGTGTGTCTGAAATTAAATCATTCACCTTTTCATGTTTCAAGAAGACCACCAAGGCGCGAACATTTGCCTGCTCTTCTGCCTCTGCCGCGAATGAGCTGGTTCTTCTTTGCTCCTGGGAAGGATTTCTCCCAAACCAAAATCCTGGCTTACCAGTAGAGAAAGAAGGGTCAGGATGACAGGGTGTTAGGAATAGGTGGTCCCTTGAACACAGGTTGGTAGGAAGGGCTTCTGAGGCTGTGGTGGGACCAGATTATGTACATGGTGAATATTCAGCTCCTTCCCCATCCCACACAGACACTCGGACAGAGGCTGTGTCTGGGGTGCTGTTGCAGCAGGGGAGGAAGCATGGGCTGCCCGGATTTAATTTTTTTTAATATCAGAAAGGACTGAGAGCTTCAGAACATTATTTTTTCCTTTTTTTTTTTTTTTTTTGTGTGTGTGTGTGTGTATGCTTAGTGTTGTTACAGCTGTGTTTCTGAAAGCTCAGGCCAGAAGTGTTGCAATCATTAGTTCCGCTGGCTTTTGTCACAGTGATGGACAGGGGACGTTTGGTGGGTCTGTCGGTACTGGGTCAGGCAGTAAGTGACCACATACGCTAAAACTAGCCGAGTAATGCTGCAATGTGTAATTATCAGCTCTAGGACTGACAGACCAGGCTGTTTGCTAAATAGTGTTTTATTCATTGGGTACCTGTACCTGATGAGTGATCTGCTCTAGCACAAGAGATGCTGAGCGGTGGGGAGCTCAGGGCAGTGGGGCCTCGTTTGTGAAACCCTGTCTCTGTTGGCAGCGTTGGCCAAAGACAACTCGTCTGTCTGGCGAGAGCGCTGCTTCGCAAGACAAGAATCTTGATCCTCGACGAAGCAACAGCAGCCATCGATCTCGAGACGGATGATCTTATCCAGATGACAATTAGGACCCAATTTGAAGACTGCACGGTGCTGACAATAGCACACAGGCTGAACACAATCATGGATTACACAAGGTAAAAATCTCTTAATGGTCTGTGGACGGGATACTCACTGGTTTATTGGGTGTGTGAAGCACTTAGAATCACAGAATCACAGAATGTTAGAGATTGGAAGGGTCTGGTTTGTCTCTAGATAGTCACACTGATGCTCTTGTCAGGTAGTATGTAAGCAATGATGTTTAAGCCATATAATCCTAGAATATCCAGACCCGACTTTGCTTCTTTTGGCGTAAGAAACACATTCTATATTTATTAACCAGAGCTGCGCAAGACATACTCCCCAGTTGCGTTAATGGTGCTGTCAGCAAGCTTGTAGTTCCATCTTTAACTAGCAGCTGCTGTATCTTGTTCACTAACATCATGTCATATTAATTACTTTAAAATATATTACTGTACTTCGTGAGCTTTTATCTCCTTGGCTTTCTGGGACTATGTTTTCAATTCCAGAGCTACCAGTGTGACACTTTTTCTTTTTTTTTCCCCCTGGGAAATAGTGACTGTCCTGTACCTTTTTAAATCAAACAGCAGCTCAGGGAGAATGTTTATCATCTGATGTCTTTCAATGTGTGAAAATAATTGAGCAAAACAAAGGCAAGGCAAAGATTAGAGCAGCTTTTGTCATAGAAAGGGATATCACATTTCTTGTGAGGAATTCTCTGACATAACTTCCCCCCACACGCCTTTTGTTTTGCACAGGGTTCTTGTTCTAGACAGTGGAACCATAGCTGAATTCGATACACCTGCAAACCTTATAGCATCCAAAGGTATTTTCTACAGTATGGCCAAAGATGCTGGACTAGCATGAAGAGAAGACCTCATGGGTTTTTGGTTTGGGGTTTTTTTTAACATTACTGACTTGCCACAAAAGTGACTTGTGAATGTACTGTAATTTACAAAACTGGTTTTGTAGTAGACTAAACTTGTGATATGTGAACAAAGTATTTTACAATTATAAGGACCAGAAAGTGAATTTTATATTTTTAAATATTTTCTATATTCATAAAGTATTTTATTATATGCTTTTTTTTCCCAAAGAATGCCAAACATTCTGCCAAGATCATGTACCACAGGGCAATATGTACTGTATTCAGGTTTATAATTAGTAAATTATACTAATGGTACAAAATACACCTGTCTTGTGTGTTTTCTGCATAAGGAATAATTGGTTTTGAAGTGGAAAGACAGGCCTGGTTAAGTAGTGACTCAGCTGAAAAGTAATGTGTAATGTCTGAGTGGTTCCAACCTGTTCCTGTCAGTATTTCCCCAGGACAAGGTAGTTTTAGGGCTGTGAGCTCCCCCAGGACTTTGCCCTGCAACGTTAGTATAAAATTCCTCTTCAGCATCAGAATTAGGAGTAGGGTATATTTAGAACTAAACCTACAGATGGCTTAATAGAAATCATCAACTACACAAGTTCTGTTAATTTAGTAGACCCCGCATAAGCCTGCAGGGCCGTGATTGGCACAGTATTATCATTTTGCTCTCTCGCTTACGTATGAAGTCACTGTGAGCAAGTTCCCACTGAAGCTGAACATGCATGCTGAGCAGATGTGTATATAATTTATCTCATTCAACACTTCACCACTTGACATAATATGTGATTTATTTTGCAGGAGATAAATATCTACATTATTTTTGATAACCAAGTCTCCTCCGATAAAGGGAGGACCGTCTTTAAACAGTATCTGCTGCTAGAATCTGACAGAACATCTTTTGCTTTAGTTGTTCACTTATTCCACCAAGCACTCTAGAAACCTACCCAGCAAGAAGTTTCTGTGTTTTTCCAGAAGTAAAGTTCAGAACAAGATTGAGATGACAAAAATAATAATTTATTAATTCTTACAAATAATACTTCTTAAATAGAAACAAGAATCTGCAGCCAAGCATTCATTTGACATTTTAGAGCAGAGCACAAAGTAATGAATTATTTATCATACACCATAATGTAATGATTCTACACTGATCAGCTTGTTAGGAGTGTTAATAGTATCTTCTATGTATAAACTGCAGAAGGTATAAAAATATTCTTCTGAATGCATAGACAGTGATCAGCATCTGTGCAGGATAAGCAGGGTGGTGGTGAAGTCGCCCACCCAGCAGCTGAGCTTTCCTCTAGTAGGTCCGACTGGTTCAGCCTGGGACCTGCATGGATTTATCTGGCATTGAGAGAGCTGCTGCCGAAACCCTGTCTGTTCTGTGTGCCACGGAGAATGCAATAGACAACATGGGGTATGAGGAACAACAATTTTATTATTCCATTATACAGAAGTTAATACACCACCAGCACTTTGGTGTAAAAAATAGATGACTCGGACCACATCTGACCTCCAGCCCTTTCAGAAGAGGATGTTTTGTTGTGACATAATGTTCTACTCTTAGCTTTGGGAGCTGAGCTTCAGTCTAGTTAATTAGCAGACAGGAAATTGGGGTGTTTGCATGGATCTGTGCTTCCAGGTGAACACAGGACAGCGGACTGGGCGAGGGCTCCCTCTTGTGCGCCCAGTCGCTGCAGCTGCTTGCCCGTGCACAGAGCTCCTCGCTGGACGGGAGAGAGCAGGGGTCAGTCTGGGCACCAGCTGTGTGAGCTGTAATACAGGTGCCTGCTCTCACTGCAGGGGAAGAACGAACGTCTTTACCTGCCGCAGCCTCCAAGAAAGGAGACGGGTCTGTGGTGGATTCCTGACTCCAGTCAGAGGAAGTACTAGAGTGGCAAGAGCTCACCATCCCGTCCTCTCCTCAGAGTCTCCTCCAGCTCGTTTGGGTGGCTCCCTGCTCAGCGTGCTAGTGCTATAAATCCCATTTACACATCAGATACCATGTACAGCTAACTTGGGCTGGGAATTCTTAGACAACAAGACCACAAAGTACTTTGGTTGCTGTAGTTTCCAAAGAAACTGGGGAGGAGAAAGGGGGAAAATGAAGAAACTCTGGGCAATTCAGTCCAGCTTGCTGTGTTCTGTTTGCTTGTTAGATCTCTTTAGTTCATTCATCTAATTCATGCTACTTTTAGTTAGGCTACCAGAATGGAAGTCTTCCTCAAACACAGATGACTGAGTAAATACCAAAATCATAAATAATTAGATAAAACCCAGCTCTTAAATACTTTTCAATTTATTTATTCCCGAAATTCATAGCAAAGTAGTCTAATTCTGAACGTTAACAGGAAAAGTGATTTTTTTTTTTTATATAGTAAGTAATGCAAGTAGACACAAGTAATTGGAAAAAAAAGAAAATACATTGCATAGGAACATTAAGAGTTAATATCAGCCCAGAAAACCCTGGGCTTTCACTAGTTTCTTTTTACACAGGCAACCCTGAAGTTTCAAGATGAGATCTTTCTCAGGAATGGAGGTAAAAGGAAATTAAATTACAATTGTTGTGCTTTTAAAAGGGGAAATTAAAGCAGCATTGGAGAAACGTGTTTTCAATACAGTAACAAAAATAGTATTTTAAATTGCACATGTCAATACTGTATATTGACAGACAACAATAAAAGGGATTTTGGTCGAGAGCATATTTATGATTTAGATAATTACTATCACTTCTTGTTTTCAACCTGAGAAATAGGGAAAAGTGTAAACAGGGATTAAGAAATCACAGGTAATAAGTCACTTGATAGTATTTATACAAGACATAGTTTTGTGCTTCTTCCACAGATTTAAACCCTTCTGGTTTTTTTCTTTCTAAATATACAGCTTAAAATACAGGATCTAAAAAGTGAACATTAATGGTAATGGACTCAGTTCAAATATCAAATGGTTTCATGGCAGGTTCTTTAGCTTGAGTACCTCTGCTATTTCATAGCAAACAAACTATTAGAACAGTTTAAGGTAAGCCTTTCCCTGAGAGCTGCTAACTCTACACTATTTCAAGATTTTTGTATGGAGAAGTCTTGCATTAACAGATAGTTCTATCTATACTTCCTTTGCATCGAGCTACTTTCATATCAGACTCGTTACTCTTAGATTACCTAGAGGCTGTAACTGTGCATAACTTTAGTTTATTTCAAGGTTAACAAAATAGATTTTTTTAACATCATTAGCCCTTATAGATACTGTATTTCAAATGTAATTTTACATGAGAGATACAAATCCTTTGTTTTATTCTTTGAACAATTAATATGTCAGTTCTGATGCCTTCTTGTTATAACCGCTCCGTTCAGAAAGTGCTGGGACTCTGAAAAGTAAGTTTTTGTCGCTTACTGTTAGAACAAGCTCCAGTTCTTGGAAATCCTGTAGCCTTGCAACATCTTTGTCCTTTAAATAAATACAGTAAGTTGTTAGGTGATAAACTGTCAGTTCAGTTTTGCAGAGGTAAGTTAAAATAGGCTCATACTAACACAAGGTATGTATTTATCCATAAATACAACAATTCTTTACAGTAAACTGGAAAGCGGACATCCGGGTGCATCCTGTATTTATTCCGAGATCCTATTCAGCTACTCAAGTCTATTTTAAGGAGGCGAGTGCAAGTGATTAGTGGAATTACACTTGTAAAGATCCATGCCTGCCACCCCCAACTCCTCTTTTCTTTCCCCCTTGGCAATTCTTAGAAGCTCATGGATTGATTCTCACCTCTACCCAAGGTCCTGCACCCACCTTCCTCCAGAGCAGCCCACCACCCCCCCGCAGCGCTGGCTTTGGAGAGCGATGGAAGACACCCTCCCGCAGCACGGGCCTGAGCTCTGATCCCCTCTGCAGCAGCGCTCTGCTGCTAAACAGCATTAAACAGAATTAGTTTTATGTCACCTCAAGGAACAGGAAGTGTCCTGCAGTCCTACCCAGAGAGCCTGGAGTAATCAGAGCTGGAAATAAAAACTGTCCCTTCAACAGCCACCTACGTGGGCAAGTGACAGAATCGCTTATGTCTTTTTTTTTTTTTTTTTCCCCCCAGTTCTTGTCTAGCAAATAAGTCATCTCATAGTGAGTGAAGATGCAGTGCAGTGGAGTCTGGTAATCTGGTACTAATCAGATCAGCTCCATGACTGACGCCAGCAATGCTCCAGAGGGATTTGAGAGTGAAAGAAAGGTCAGCGGGGAATTGGTAAAACTGGTCAGCAGGTCTGGTTTCAGTTTGCTGCACAGGTAAATGTCATGGCAGTGAAAAAACAGTTACATTCAGAGATCTGCACTTGGAATAATTCTGAAACTCCTTTCACTGAAAGTACAGTCCTTGCTGAACCAGCAGAACTCAGCTGAGAACTGCGGGCTTTTAAATGCTGTGGCAAGTCACAGTGCTGTGGCATTGCACTGAACTTCAGAATGTAGTAATCAGATATTAATTAGGCTTGACACCAAATGTTTATGAAAGGAAATGATGAAGAAACTTTAAGAGCCTTTTGCTAAAAAAAAAGAAAAACCAAGTAACTGCTGAGTGCTGCAAGCTGTAGGGAGGGTTTTCACGGTGGTTTGCTTTTGTTTTTTGTTTTTTTTTTTTTTTTTTTGCAACATGGGCCTATGAAGATGAACAACAAATTACTCCTCTTTAACGGTAACCTAAAAACCTTTTTTATTAGTTACTGCACTTCAAAATTTAGAGTTCTTACCTTTCTTAACATTGTATTTGGTAATTTTCTGATCTTCTGTACATGCTCGGGGTTAACACCCAGCTCACGGCAGCTCACTTGGAGCAGTTCCTTATAGGTCAGTTCTTGTCTGTCCAGTTCAATTTCAATGAAGTCATTTTCTCTAAGGTTAGGGTTTTGTATTCTAACTTTAAGCACCAGTTCTATTAGAAATAAAAAGGCACATTAATAGGCAGATGTATATAGGAATTGGAAAAGATCTCTCTATACTAAGTTTTAAATCTTTCTATGTTCGATTAAGCTTGTTTCTAACAAGCTTAACATTTCTAACAATGCAAGAATCCTCAGAAAGCAAACAGCTGGACTTGATGACCACAATTTCCATTAGATTGACTTTCATCAACCTATGGGAAAAAAATCATTGCAAAGCTAATACAGTGCGTGTACACATGTATGAACCTTTGCATGAATACTCATGTTACTGGATTGAAGCCAACTTAAAAGCAGATTATACTGGTTATCGATTTCCTGAGCAATCCAAGATTGCTTTTATTGTTTTTTGATTCTTTTGGTCATCAGTTAACTTCTCATTGTTAATTCATGGCATCAGAACACCTTTTTATTTCAAGAATGAAATTCTGAACTGAAACTGAAATTCCACATTTCCCTCTCTGGGCAGGCAGCGTTTACCTGCAGATCACAGAAGAGACTCAGGGCTGCAGATTGCGCCATGTGAGGTTCTCTCTTGAGCTCACCAGCCGCGTACTCACATTCTTTATTTGAAGCTTGGAGTATGCTATTGAGGAAATTAGATTACCCTGGTGTCTGTACGCTTTTATAGCTTTTGAGACAAATAGCAAATGTTTTCATCAATATTTTAATAAGAGTTCAGCAGAAACAGGATATCTGCCTCTTTAATTCCCTTCAAATGTTTCCTGAATGCCTGCACGTGGGAACCCAAAAAATCCCTAGAAGTGCTGTGAACACGTGTAACCCAGCTTAGGCTATCTGCACTGTCCAAGGTGGCAGAAGCTCCAAGACAAAGTGAGAAGAGACTTTTACCGTTACCTTGCATATTAAGTGGAAAAGCTCCTGTGAAGAAAACCGGCTGAAATGCTGGCACGGGCCGCCCGCAGGAGCCGTTCTCTGGCTGAGGCACCGACTGATTTGCTCCAGCTGGCGCAGAGGGACTCCTGCTCCAAGACACAGATCCCTGGTAGACGGGACCCCTCTGAAGGCCGTGTTTTGGGGGTGGTGGCCCCGTGCACCCTCTGGGCAGTGGCGGCACGCCTCCGTTACCAGCCGCCACGGGAGCAGTGTTCCCGTGCTGTAACGGTGAGTGCGGGTACGTCTCCACATCAGGTAAGGATGAGGAGTCGGCATCTTGCGATTCTGAGCGTGAGACACTCCCATTCACGGCAGGGTCTGGAATGCTGGTACTCATAGTGTTATAGATGTAAGGGAAAGGTGGGTTGGCCAGATAATTAGGGATGATCGGCAGATCTGAATCTTTCTTTAAGTCTGGGAGTTCATCATCTTCCACTGTAAAACAAACAAAAACAACATTCTCCATGACTGATCCGAGGACGAAAAGAAGTACTGCTATTGCACTGTGGGCCTTTTTTTTTTTTTTTTTTTTTTTAATAGGAAGGAGTGGACTGTTAAAAGCATCACAGGATCAAAGATGAATCAATCACTACACCTTTTTTCTACAGTAAACAGAACCGTGCTGAGGTGTTGCAATAAACACACAAGCAGAGTCTGATTCCAGCAGTTCTGGGGATGCTACTTCCTTCTAAACGCTGCAGGACTTTTGGTTTGGTTTGGTTTAATCCGTAGCCAGGAGGTTGTAACATGGTCTCTGGTGGTATAATGCTGTCGTCTTCATAATGTATAAGGCAATGAAAAACAAAGGGTAACGTGCTGTTCGATATTAAGACAGGGGATAAAGGCAAAAGAACATGCAGTACTGAGAGAGCTGAAACATTACCAGTTCAGCAGCTGGGAGACTATAATGAAAACAAAAACAAGCAAGGGAATACAAAGGGGAAGAAAGAGGTTGTTAATCGACCACATTTCAAATTACTTATCACCTCTAGCAGCAACTCTACTCCGCTCCAACAGTTACAAAACAGGATAAAAATGCTCCACTGATATCCTTTAATGAGCTATTTCTCTGGGGTGCTAATTTTCTGTTTACCCAACACAGTGTCTAAGCTCCATAGAGCATCGGGAACATTAGGTGTTGCTCATATAGGGACTTCATACGAATTTGAGATATTTTCTCCTTTTGCCCTTTTGAAAATAGGAAGCTGTCTCTGTCTGTCACTGGTTTAATCATGGCATTTTTCAAAACACAGTTCTAATTTTTCAGTGTTGAGAATAAAAGTTTGGCTATCTAGATATGGAACTTGTTGGTAATCCTCATTTCTTTAACTTTTGATTTCTTACCAAGTAAACTCTAGAAATCAAGTGACAGTTGTTACTAAAACCGAAACACAGTATCTTCACATGCAAAATAAAGGAACGTAAGTGCTTTAAGCAGCCTTTTACTGCAGTCTTTGATGATCATATCGCATAGCCAAGAGGTTTACCTCCCAACATCTTCCGTATCTCTCTCTTTGATGTTAACTGCACTGGCCGTTCTCCTTTCTTTGTGAGGATCTCCTTGTCAGCGCCGGCGTGCAGCAGGTACGCCACCACGGGAGCATGGTTCCGCTTACATGCCCAGTGCAAACAAGTCCTGCACATGGAAAATGTTAACACGGTTTGAAATCCTAAGTTACGGCAGGTTCATTTCCACTCATTCTTGCTGTCTATGAGAAAGAGACCTAATGCACGTCTAATATAAAAAAGGTTTTAATTACAACCTTCCTTGGAAATTGACGCTGGTTTTGGAGCCTGCAGTGACACCTGCTGATGCAGTTTTCCCTTGCTCTAATGCTCTTGATACCAAGTTATTTTTAAAGTTCAAGATCTTTTCCATTTGTCATTTATTAGGCTACTAACTTTTATGGAAAAAGAAATATAAAAAGAAGGCTTGTATATGCTATTTTAATCTTTGAAAGAATAAGCTGTACTTAAAATACTTCTGTGTGTATGTGAGCTAATAGCGATAGCTCCTGAGGATGCTATTTTTACTCTTCAATTAATGCTGTCAGCACAATGACTTGCACTTTTTTTGAAAGTAAATGATGTTTAAAGTATCGTAAGCATAGTTTCTAAGCACAGTTCTTTGCCCAGCTGCTATTCACTGTGCCAGAAATTCCCAGGCTTTGATCAGCAGACAACCAGTTTTCTGCGATCTGTAACTGATGCACAGAACTAATCACTTTTCTATTTTTTTATAAGTATTATTTGCAGTTGCTGACCTAGAAAGACATAGTAAAGAAACCTCCTAAAAGCTACTGAGCTTATTTAGTGCTTAGTGTTAGGACTTAGACTAACACATTGTAACTTGCTATACAGTCACCATTCCTCGCTATCCCAGGTTCTAATGATGTCTGATCTTTCTCTAGGTTTTATGTTTTGATTCTCTAGCTCCAGCTGAAGGAACCTCTTCAGAAAAATGAACACACTTCTCTGCGTTTATTTATTTAAATATAATAAAGCAGAGAACAATCATAAACTTATAAGGGAAAAATGTCTCAGTTGAAAGTCCAGCTCCAAAAAGCTTTTTCCACTTTGTTTTGTTTTAAGAAAGAGACACAGTCATTAGACTGCAAGGTTGTATCTTGATCAGTAACTCCCAGCTTTGTACACAAAATTCTGCTCTTGTAAGTTTTCTTGTGTAGAATTATTTAAGGCCGAAAAAAGAGAATCTGATCTTTGGAAGGATAGAAAGTGCCATTTTTAAAAGGGATAAAATAATTTTGTCAGCAGAAAATATTCTGGAATTTTTAACACCAAAGGTCCCACAGAATCTGAGAGAAGCTCCATGAAGCTCAGACCAGGTTTGTTTAGTTTTTCTGTGCCGTGTCTTCTGGATTTTTCACAACTATCTCATTGTGAAATCAGTGTGAATAGCCTGCATGAATTCAGAAGTAGTGCGCTGCCAAGTTATAAGCTACTTTGGACCAAAGTTGTGGGGAAAAGCACAGACTCTATGGCTGTGTTTGCTTTGAGTTCAAAATCTGCAGGTTTAGTTTGTAGAGGTCTGTAAGCCTCAAAAGCCTTGGCCTCATTTTGGGATCCATCCTGACTGTTTCATGTGGTCTCATGCAGAGAGAGTCCATCTACCCATGGGCTTGTCACGCATCAAATGTAAGTACTCAGCTCCTCTTGGCATCAGACACACTGAGAAGCTCAGGTCTACAAGCAAACTTAAATAACAACGAAGATCATTTCTTGCCATAGTTAAAAACAATGGTCTCATCATTTAAAAAAATAATTAATTTTATTACAGATTTCTTTCATCAATTCCAGTTTTAGATACAAGCTTATTTTGATGGCAAGCAGATCTAAGATAACGTCTTTTGAATCAGTTATCTTAAACTTTTACGAGTTCTAATTTTAATCATCACAATTTGAGCCGAAAGTGGCCC